CCCCCCCCCCCCCCCACTCCAGTCACGCAAATAATTATACTTTTTGGAATGAATCAATATAACGTTTTTTTTTCTTAAAGTTCATATTTTCCTATTTTTAAAACACTTTATTTTTATCTGTATTTTTTGTGTTAATACATTAAAAATATATGCTAAAATTATAATAATTCAATGATATCTCTTACTGTGTATGTTATGTGTGTGGTCTTAAGTTATACAATATCATTTCATATATAAGATCTTTTTTCACATGAAAGCTGTACTCACATGTATACCCTTTACGGCCTTTTTCATAAACATCAATTGGATATCGCCCACTTTTTAGCCATGGTTGATGGTAATTATTTAGAATAAATAGAATACGGTCGTCACCTTCGATTTTGATAAAATTAGACTTATTCACCGCGTTTTTGCACAAAACAAAAAAATCTGTAAGAAAAAACGTTAGAACGACGCCGTGAACCGAGATATTAAGCATTAAAGTTGACGACTATAAAGGTTAGGAAATCCGTCATATCGACGAAATGCAGCGATATGTACGAATATTTTGGTCACATCCGCATGCACTGTGGCCATGTACACAGTATACACAGTAGCGCAACTCTCGGTCTTTGATGTTAGTGTTGGCCAAAATGGAGTGCGCATGCGTGAAATAAGTAAATCACCTAGCGTTGCCACGGTTACCACCTAAATTTTTTTCTCCTTTCATCCTTTTTTCACTCTGTCAAAATTCCTGGCAAAACTCGCTAGATTTATTCGCATCGCATTCCAACCAATTCGTTGAAGTAATGCTGGATTCACACTGGATCCGATTTGCATTGTACGACGCTCTTCAACCAATCAGAAAACAGGATTTCAATGGATTTTGCTTCGCATCATCGGAATTCTGTTTTCTGATTGGTTGAAGAGCGTCGTACGACGAAAATCGGATACAGTGTAAATCCAGCAATACACTATTATTTATTTCACGCATGCGTATTCCATTTTGGCCAACATAAAATCAGGAGAGTCGCGCTGGTTCAGTAGTTTTTTCTCTCCTTTTAGCGTTATCCTTATCAGAGAGAAACCTGAGAGAGGCCATGGCGGCCTTTTTTGCGTGATAAGCGAAAGCCACCGTACGCTAGCGGCACCAACATCATTTTTATAAAATGATGTGAACTACGTATCGCATTATCGACACTGTCGATAAAATCGTAGTGTCGATTTGATGCTAAATCCACAAATATAATATTAATTTACAAAAAAATGTTTTTTTAAGGGGGAAGTCTACTGTGACAAGGGAAAAAACAGGTCGATTTTCCAGATTTTTTTTCTAACAAAATATGACTCGTACATTAAATCAAATTAAACCGTCATCTTTATTATATATTCAAGTATTTGTAAAAAAATTTTCAAGTCAAAATATTCAAAATTGCCGTCGTGGCACTCCTTAAAGTGCAGGTCCGTTTTTTTTTGAGGTGTACATACCTATTTATTATAGTGCGAAGCCCCTCAGACTACGCATTGAAGATTGAAATTGAAGATTGAAAGACTGAAATTTGACCAATCAAAACTATAGGAGCTAAAATTCCTTGATTTCTATCGGTCAATTTTCAATTTTCAATCTTCAATCTCAATCTTCAATGCGGAATCTGATTCTGGCTTTAACCATTGAAATCGCCCATACACTACCGCCAGTACATCCATTTTCAATTTGAGAACTACGTGATATACATTTTCTGACACTATCGATAAAATCGTATTGTCGGAAGTATAGATGTGGTTCGTCTCTGTACTAAATCCTCAGGATAGAAGCGTGCCGACTATTCATAAGAGGGATAGTTTAATGAATCCTTGAACGAAAAAATTTTAACTTCGCATCTCCTACATATGTAAATAAAAATTGTTAAATTTTAATAAACGGAATTAAAAATTCAAATAAAGTTAATTTAGTGAATTTTATCTTATGATATTTATCTTATGATATTTATCTTATAATATTTTATAAAATTACGAAATTATGTTTCATTATGCAAATTTTCAGCCCGTTTTTACCCAAACATAATTACTAGTATGTATCAAAATCTCTATAATTACTGGCACACACAATTATAGAGACGTAATAAATTAAATCTTTTCTAAATACATACATATATTGTCAATTTAAGGTATAATTTAGCAAAAACGAGCTATAGAGGCCCTCCACCACCCCCGCCAATTTTATCGGCGG